AGGCACCGTATTTTGTTCAATTGCTCACAAATCTTTCCAGTCACCTTACCTCCGATCGATGGAAGCAGCTTAAACATGGTAGTTTGCGGATGTAGGGACCAGAACTACAAGAGACCACTTACTCCATCTCTTTCCTCTCAGCTTCTTCCTGTGAGAGATCCTCTTCTACACTATAATCCAGCACAGCTCCCACTCCATACGCTTGGTTCTTCTGCACTACAGGCTTGATGGACTGATGGTCCTCGCCTGCCACAAACTGACCGTAGAACGTCATCTTCATGAACTGCTCAAACATCTTCTGTCCTAACAGCTTTCTGCTGAGATCTATTATCTGTAGGAGACAGAAATCAAATTGTCAAAGCATACACATGTTATAGTATGATCTGATTTCATTTTTAGCAATATTTAAAGGGATAGTTCACCCAAAAAATGTAATTCTGTCATCGTTTACATACCCTCAGGTTGTTCTTTGTTCTGCTGAACACAAAAAATATATATATTTTATCATTACAAAGATTTTTTTTTCTGAAGCTTCTTAATTTTCTGAACATTTGGTCCCTTGTGTCTGTAAAGGCTGAAACCCTGTGTAAACACATATGTTCAGTGTGTATTTCCACCTTCAAGTTGCCTAAAGGTTAAAAACACTTGCTCGAGGTTCATTCTATCCTTGCCAGTTGACTCTAGTAACTCTATACACTGACCACATGACTTCTTCCCTGGCAAGGTGCCATTCCTGTCAATCATCCAGGACAATGTCACAAAGAGTAATTCCATAGAGGATTCCTCCAATACAGGAATTCATGGAAGTCTGTCACATGCAGTACATGAAAGATCAGGATGGTACTCTTTATGAATGCATTCTATATGCATTAAACACATTACATACCTCTTTATTCGAGTCAACCAGGATGTCATAGGTGCACAGTTTGAAAACTACCAAGCTTCTCAGTAACTCAAGGGTGTCTTTGCTCTTGTAGGCTTCTTTGGTATGTTCAAAGTCAATGGAGATGTTGTTACTGAAGGACACATGCTTCTCTTGAGTGTTTGTTTTGGTTGAATGTAACGCTTGCACACTCCGTTGATGACCATGAGTGGAGATTGCAAAACTCCTGTCACGCGTCGCGAGCGCAAAAGCTGGAAGAGTTTTGCGGAGAGACATCAGTTCAAGACTTCTGTACTGACAATGTGCATAAAACAGACAAAGTTCGCCTGGTGTTTTTTTTTTGGAAACCACTCTGTCCTTGAGCACATCAAACGCTACCTGTGTGGGGTCCCACGCATGGAATGCCATAAAAGGAATGCTGTTGCATAAACGTTCCGTAAAAGAAATATCACAGTTTTATAATTCTGATGCAAATGAATATACATATTAATTTAAATAACATAGGCTACATATATAGTATACCATGTGATGATGTCAATACACCGAGGACAAAAATAAATACACTGAGGACTGTTTATTAAATCTTGCCTTTTGTCATTAGTTTTAATCTTGCTGTTTTGCTTATTGACGTACGTGACGTGACATTTGTTGAGCACGTTCCATGAAGTTAACAGTGGGGGGAGCCGTTGCATTGCTATTTCACTTTACAAGACTGAGGGATTTAGCTAATCTGACAAAACTTCAGGAGACATCCACAAATTATTCATAAAAAAATAATAATAGCTAACGATTTTTATTTATTTATTCAGAAAGAGTTATTTATGTATTTATTTATGAGAGAGAGAGAGAGAGAGAGAGAGAGAGAGAGAGAGAGAGAGAGAGAGAGAGAGAGAGAGAGAGAGAGAGAGAGAGAGAGAGAGAGACTTTTGAATTTTAAAACTCTTTATTTAAACGTACTAAATCACTAAAATACAATAAAATACAATATATTATACCCATGCTATGCAGCAGTGTGCTTATGCAAAACAAATCTTAAAATCATTAAAACAAATTGACCATCAGACATCACCAGTTGTCCCATCTTCTCATATTAGTGTGAAGCACCATTCACACCATTTAAACTCAAATTCATTTGTGATTTGATCAAATTTGTGTTCCACTCTGATTCTCGATTCAACCGAAGCAAGAATTGGCATTTTGCATGTTTTTCCCCTCAGCAGCCATTTTACAGGTCTTGTCCAACTATAAAATTCGAAGGTGCACTGTTCTCTGTGTGTGTGTGAGAGGGATTTGTTTAAATAAAACTATTCGATTTATTGGTTTGGTTGTGTTTACCAGATATAGCCTATACGTATTTAAATGTATAACCCACAGTTGCAAGGCTAACCCTCACTATAGGCTAATGAGGCGGCGTGCATGCGCTCGTGCGCGGGCATGTTGACGGAGGTTAGTAAGGGGGGCTGGAGGGATGGTGAAGTCCTAAACATATACTAAAGTCACACCCACTCGATGAGGAGCTGCTCCTGGTGGTTTCGGTTAGAATTGGGAAACCGCTGCACGCCAAAGAGAGCAGGCGCATCGAATTCCCAAGAGCCAGAGCCAGAGATAGGATCACTAATTAAGAATTTTCCTTCTGAAAAGAGAACAACGACCGTTTTAAAGTCCCCGTGCCTTTTCCAAAATGGACGCACATAAAGTTTTGCAGACTTTTTTTATTTTCTTGACATGCCTTGAAGCAGCACATCCTCTCTGAAAATCTACATTTTGGAAACAACGGCGGGAATCTCAGGGTGTCAGAAGTTTCCAGCAATGCAGCAGTTACATCCAGCAGTGTTTGGAGCGCTTAATAAAAGCAGAAGTTCTCCTCAGGAACTTGGGCTGGACGGAGGGAATAACTGTTTGGTTTTATAACTTCTGTGCACCCTCTCCTCCTCTTTTCTCTCCTCTGCCTCAGCCTTTGGAGTCTGAAAGAGAGTGGATAAACGATTTATGCGGATAAAGTAACGTACAAACGCTTGAACTCGAAGGTTTTGAGACTTCGGTGATACAGAATATCCCGTCAGAACTTCTAGAGTTTGTAAAAGAAAGGAATGCTGAACAGAAGAGGCGCATGGAGAGATGCTGTTTCTTCTACCATGGATCTAAGGGGCACTGTAGCGGTTTTAGTGCTTTTGCTTCTATGCTTGTGTCCCGTTTTCAGTCAAGAACTCAATCCAAAGGGTAGGAACGTGTGCAAAGTTCCAGGGTAAGTTGGATGAATAACTTTTAGGGGGAAGAAAATAAACGAAAGCATGTATTCTGCTAGATATTAAGCAAACAAGTAGCCTTTATGAAAATTCAATTTTATTAAGTGCAGCAATTAAACATTATTTCCGTGACCTTCAAGAAAACAGTAATGAAAATGAAAAAGAAGCCCTACATTAGCCTAAATTAAGAGTTCAAATTAAAAAATGATAAAGTCTTATGTTAATCTTTGCTTTAAAGTTAAACATAGGACCAAGTGTTTGTCATATCTGATTGTGTTGTTTTTGTGGTTATAAAACGAATGAATTATAGCCTAATATGAAAGTGCACAGAAAATAGTTATTCAACTTTTAAAACTGTACTTAAGTTTTTTTTTTTTTTTTTTGGATGACGTTCCAAATAGCAAATTGTTTGAATCGGATGTGTGTCAGTCACCCTGTTTCACATCTGGGTCACTGACACACATTGAGAGATAGAGGGCGACACCAATTACTCTGAAGCATTGAAGTCGTGGCATAGTTTAGATACTGCATAAAAGCCTACGTAAAAGAACAATAATTAAATTAATTGGTATTAAAATACTTCTAAAAGCCCATAAAAATGCATAAAAACTAAAACTGAAAAAAAAAAAAAAAAAAAAAACATGCATCATTTGATATCAAAGAACTGGTAATAATCTTTCAAGGCCTACTCAGTATTTTAGAGAGTTTGAAACGGCAAGACTTAGAGTATGATCTACAGTTCCACACTCGTTGCAGATTCTAAACTCTTCTCTAACCTAAACACAGATATCATCAAGGGTGTGACATCTAGTCACAACACTATATCCATGACCTACATTTCATTCCAAGTAGAATAGATGTAGAAGGCTAATCACATTGATCAATATTGATGTCCAAATGAATCTATCAAATCACAGAGGCACACATTTACAAATACTGTAAATATCACAGGCAATCAGGGATCAAATAGTGATTAACTTTTGAATGGATAACTGCAATGCCTAAATCTAATGAGCAGGATGGATGATAGCTTATGTAATACTGATATCAGAAGCATTTCAACATTGAATTTGATAGTGAGGGAATTTTTTTTTGTGCCTTTTTTCGAATGCACCCATCTTTAAAAAAACTATTAACTAAAAAGAACTATTTATGTTTTATAATTAAATTTCAACAATTATTTTAAGAGTTTTCGGTTGATTTCTGTTTAAACATTATACATTCACATGTCTAAATTTGGTCAGTCCAACCTTCTGCAGATATTTTGCTTCAAACTACACTGCTCTTTTCCATATAATAATAATGCTGATCAAGTTCATTCGCAATTTTGCTTCTTTATATTAGTCATACTTTAGGTTGGGACCACTTGGTAATTTTCCTTTCTTTTGTCATGTCTAACCTCGCCCTGGGCAGCATGTGACCCAAGACTAAAAGTGCTGCCCCTTCAAAGAAAGGACCTACATATACACTTCTATTCGAAAGTTGGGTTTGTATTTAAAAGAAGTCTCTTATATGCTCACAGAGGCTGCATTTATTTAATCAAAAATACAGTAAAATGGGCGATATTGTTACAAATTAAAATAACTGTTTTAAATGTCATTATAACATTATAAATGTCCTTACTGTCAAGCTTGATCTATTTAATGCTTCCTTGATGGATAAAAGTATTAAAGAGATAGTTCACCCAAAATTAAAATTCTGTAATTTACTCGCCCTTAAGTTGTTCCAAACTTGTATGAATTTCTTTCTTCTGCTGAACATAAAAAAAAAGAAGATACTTTGAAAAATATGGGTAACCAAACAGTTGATGGGCCCCATTGACTGCCATAGTATGGAGGAAAGAAAATATACTATGGAATATATCATCAACCTTTTGGTTACCACTGACATTCTTCAAAATATCTTCTTTTGTGTTCAGCGGAAGAAAGTAATTCATACAGGTTTGGAACAACTTGAGCGTGAGTAAATGATTTTTTAATTCTAAGTTTTAAATTAAAGCTGCATTCCGTATCTTTTTGGGTTAAAAATGACCCAAAATAAAATTGAGCAAGTACATAACCAGCTAGTGTTCAAAACTATCTACTTGCCTTAGCTCGATTCAAAATGGTAAGCTTGTAATAATGTTTTTAATTCCAGTGGTACTGGTGGATTTCCGGATGTGAGGATGTTGGAGGTGGAGATTTATAGCCTTTTCTCACAGCACTTGATATAAACTTATCAATTTGATGGTGGATCCAGAAAGGTTCAAACGACAATCACCAGTGACAACAGATTCACCCGCTGTAAAATGCAAAAGACTTTGTTCGGACTTCGGAGTGGCTACAGAAAAAAAAGAGACTGCAACCGGACCCATGCGAAAACAAGGATAAATATCGGAAAGGCATTACATGTAGTCGCACAATGCTGATGTTGTTAACATTAACAATTTGAGAACAAAGTATAATTTGCACAGTTTGACGTGATATGATATCGTCGATCGTTAGATTTAATCAGCGCGATTTACTGCAATGTTTTTTCCCCCCTAGTTGGTCAGAACAAAAGTGGATGTTACTTGTTCAGATTACATTTTCCGGTGAAAAGTCTTATGTTGGTCATACTTCCGAAAAGTAGAATTTGTGATTCTGAATGCCAGTATCCACACCGGCGCAGCAACTGACAGACGCACACTCTCCTCAAAACATTGTGTTCATCCGCGCTGTGCCGTACCGAGGCACAACCCACGTAAAGTTGATAATTCCGCGAATAATTGCAATTGCAGATTTCGAACAGAGATGGCGACAAAGAGGGAAAACTACGGACTGCAGCTTTAAGTTTCTTTAAAAAAAAAAAACACACACACACATTAACTGAGCCAAAACTTTTGAATGGTAGTGGATGCCAAATACAAAATTCACAAAAAAATGAATTGGTCATGGTGAACCTGCAGATCATTTCAAAATGCTTTCCCAAAAGTATCTTCAGCCAACTATGGGTACAATTTCCGTCGTTATCAGCATATAGTTCAACGAGTCGGTGTTTCCCGAAATCATATAGTTAGTCCTCAGATGGCATGTCCGCAATTTATAACAAAAAATTCTAGAATTAATTTGATCTCAAACGGATTCATTAAAAAAAGTTATTACTCCACCACCTGTGTGACATCATAAACCAACATGGTTGAAGCAGCGAGTTATGTAGTTGTACAGGAAAACACACCCCTGGCCGATAACCAGGGTAACCTGTTCAGTGTTCAAATAATCTTCATGAGGAGCATTATGTTGCAAAAAGCTAAATTTAGATGTATGAATATAGTTTATCTCAAAATCATGTTGCATTTTAGGGGAATTCTACTAGCAGTGTTATGCGATGAATGGTTTACGCGTGTGTTTACTTTGCGATTACTGGCTCCAGATGGCTATCACTGTACTTTAGATCAAAATGGAAACCACCAGATACAATCTAATGTGTATTCTCTCAAACAGAGATTCTCACCAACCACAGACGTTGACAGGAAGTTCACGTTCTTTTAACAAAATTGCTCAAAATTTCCACACAGGACTTTATTGTTGCTGAGTCAAGTTTGGCCCTCTAGCTGTTGACTGATGCTCAATTTCCATTTGTTTAAGCTTTCATCCGCGGCGCTAGCTTCACGTTCTCGCTGTGTGTGTATGTCGGGTTTGACACAGTGCAGAGAAGTCAGGGCTGTGGTGTAGATCATGTCTGGGTAAGACACGCACACATAGGCTAAACAAACTCTGACTGAATGCAGAGAGCGGCCCCCACGCTTCAGAGGAAGCCAAAGTGTGGACAAGGCCTCGCAGAGGTCACATGTGGCGGAATATGAGGGGCGGCGTATGTCTTATATCTAACAAGCACTTAGAGAGTATTCAGTTTTAACGGGAAGCCACTTGAAGTAGAGATAGCAGGGGTAATTTGAAATGTTTACCATTCACTACCAATCAAAAGTTTGGAGTTGGTAAGATTGTTTTTGAAGTGTCTGTTCACCCAGGCTGGATTTTTTTTTAATCAAAAATACAGAAAAACAATAATTACATTCTGTTCGGTTTTCCAGTGTCACATGATCCTTCAGAAATCATTCTAATATGCCGATTTGCTGCTCAAGAAAGCCAATTTCTTACTACTATCAATGTTGAAAACAATTGTGCTACTTAATATTGTTCTGGAAACCATAATGCATTTTTTCAGGATTCTTTGATAAAAAGTTAATCTATATAAAATATAGAAACCTTTTGTGACATTTCAAATGTCTTTACTGTCACTTTTGACCAATTTAATGCTTCGTTGCTGAATAAAAGTATTGATTTCTTAAAAAAAAAAAAAAAAAAAAAATCTTACTGACCCTAAACTTTTGAATGGTAGTTTATTAGTCTACAAACATGTTGAAACCTTTAGATGCATTGTGCTGTGGTGCTCATATGGGAGACACAGGTTTGAATCAGGTCCTCATTGTGTCCCAAATCCATTCCTCCCATCATTTTCTGTCAAAAGAAAGGCATGCAACAATAAGTTTCTGCAGCAGGGCTGTTGTGTGATGCTTTGAATAAAACATCCACCGCAGACACATGCAAAATTCCACCGGGATCATATGTGTTGGATTAAAAGAGTAATTCACCCCCAAAAAAAAAAAAATTCTGTCATTATTTACTCACTCATGCCATTCCAAACCCGTATGACTTACTTTCTTCTGTGGAACACAAAGGAGATGTTATGACTCACACATATTTTCATTCGTCTGAAGCAGTTTGATAGCTTCATGTGAGGAATTAACCAAATTTAAGTCATTATTCACTGAAAATTTATATTTACAACAGATGCATACAAAAAATTGCAAATGACATGAGAGCTACAAATTCAGGGATTTTCAGTGAAACAAATTTCAATTCAGTTCCACACAAAAAGCAATATTGTGGTTTCAGAAGAATGTGTTTAAATAAGTTTAAGAGAATTAAACTTATTAGACTGATTACAGGCCTAATGCAGGACATTTGCATTACTAATCACATCAGGCTGTGGCCTTATTTTGGATCCAGCCACTCATTGTTTTTCCACATCTGACGATGCAATGAAGTTATCGCTTCAAACGGGATGTCTGGTTCGCATGACTCCTGTCGGTGAGAGGGTGGAGAATGGAATGAATGCTTACGCTTGTGTTTGTGCGAGTGGATGCGGGTTTGCTATCTGAAACATCTGCGCTTGTGAAGCTCAGAAGAAGCTACAGATGGCACCCAGACATTTGCAATATTCCATATGCTTAAACCTCTCACGGACAGTTGAAACTTTGGTCAGGGCATTTGCAAAATATGCTGACTCGAACGTTTAACGATCAGCTGTCCTTCGAGATGTCAGCTAAATGTTGTTGCTTGAATATTCAAGCCAATGCACTTTATCTTGATCATTTCATCATGATTTGTCATCTTATCACTAGGTCATCAGAGATTACGTGTTGCAGCAGATGGGCGCAGCAAGGTGAAGAGTGTTTAACACGTAAGTGTCATTTCCTGTATGTTAGATCACTTCCTGAGAGCACGTTACTTGATTTATTTCTTGACCATGTCCTTGTCCCCTCAGCTCTCTGTGAAGGCAACTTCACTTGTAATGAGAACGAGGTGTGTGTCCGACCGAACGAATGCCGGTGTCGTCATGGATATTTTGGGGCAAGTTGTGACACAAGTGAGATGCTTTTTTTCTTTTTCAGATTAAAGTGACAGATTTTAATAATTAAAAACTAGGGCTGTCAAACAATTAATCACGATTAATCGCATCCAAAATAAAAGTTTGTGTTCACATAATATATGTGTGTGTACTGTGTATAATTATTTTTTAATACATAAATACCCACACATGCATGTGTATTTAATAAATATTTGCATGTATATACTGTATATAGACTGAATGTAGCCTATATATAATGTATATTGTATATAAATATAAACATTTTATATATAAATAACATATTTTTCTGAAGTATATACATGTGTGCATTTATATACAAAATAATTATACACAGTACACACACAAATATTATGTAAACACAAACTTTTATTTTGGATGCGATTAATCTTTGGACAGCCCTATTAAAAACGTATACCCTTTAATTAGCCTAATGCACTCCTAAAAACTGAGAAAATAAACTTTTAACAGATATATACCAAGTTCTGTCATGAATCTCTAGATTGCGCAGGCTGATATGATAAGGTCCTTAACGCAAACTGCTGACAATTACATTTTTAACTACACCGCTCAAGCTGATTGGTTCCTGTTGCATCTGCAGCCAATGAGCTTGCTGCTCAACATTTAAATAGTCAGTGTTTGCTGAAGCAGTTTCTCTTAAAACCCTCCCCCTTCCCCAGCTCCACCTGTATAGATCTGCTACGAGTAATTTCATATATGCTATTTGTACAGCAGCAGCATGTCTTACATGCTCACAGCAGTGTGTCTGTGTATGTAAAGCAGTAGAAAGTCTCTGTACTTGCTCTGCAGCAGCAATAATCAACAGCAGTAGCGTAGCCAAGACCAAATACATTATATGTGTTGTATAGTCATGATAGAAATGCCTTTAAAATATTTCTTTTCCAGATAAAGTGTGTAAAAATTATTTCATGATTATTCATCTTGTCTGCAGGGGTGTATTTCAAGGAATAGTTCACCCCAAAATTTAAATGATCCCATAATTTTCTCACCCTCAAGCCATCCTAGGTGTATATGACTTTTTTCTTGCAGCCAAACAAAACAATCGGAGTTATATTAAACAATATCCTGGCTCTTCCCAGCTTTGTAATGGCATTGAAAAGAGCCTGAGTTTATGAAGCTCCAAGAGTGCATCCATCTTTCCTAACATCCATCCATCTATTCGTCAGAAAACAAATCCATATGACTCCAGTGGTTTAATAAATGCGTTCTGCAGTTAAGCAACGGGTTTTTGTAAGAAAAATATCAATTTTTAAAACTTTATAAACTATAATCACTGGCTTCCGGCAACGGCCGTATGCACGTTCACAAGAGAGTTACATGGTTTTTGCGAGAGGCGTCTATTCTCACCTAAGCTTTCGCTATGCCTACGTCGTACGTCGGGTCAGTGGTCACCCTTCCGCCCGAACTCTCTCGTGAATGCGCGTACGGCTGTTTGCTGGAAGCCACTAATTATAGTTTATAAAGTTTTAAATATGGATATCGTGGGAAGAGCCAGGATATTATTCAATATAACTTTGATTGTGTTCGGCTGAAAGAAGAAAGTCATAAACACCTGGCTGGAGGGTAAGTAAATTATAGGATCATTTTTATTTTTGGTTGAACTATTCCTTTAAATTTGTGTCATGCTCTTAAATGTCCCCTTCTGATTGGCAAAAGCAAATAGAAAATCCTCAAGTCAAATCCTTCAATATGTCCCACTCTAAATTCAGCATATGCTTCAATATAACAAAGAAAATTGTCTGCAAAATTAAAAGTGCTGCTAGTAAAAAAGAAATATAAAAAAAATCGGCAGACTTAAAGACAACATGACATCATAATTGAACTTACTTTCTTTAAATATGTCCATTACTGTAAAGAATAAATCTCATAATCGTTCATAATCATATAGTTCATTCACCTCTCAAATGACTTTTCGTTCCTAAAGACATAACCAAGGCCAATTACTGTACCTATATATACACAATGCCTTTAAAAAAAGAAAAAAACTTAATGATCTCACACTTTTGAAAGAAATCAATACATTATTCAGCAAGGATGCGTTAAACGGATCAAAAGTGAAAGTAAAGACATTTATAATTTATAATTAATTTAGATTTCAAATAAATGCTGCTATTTTGCATTTTCTATTCATCAAAGAATTCTGAAAAAAATGCATCACTATTTCCACAAAAATATTAATCAGCACAACAGTTTTTAACATAGATAATAATAATAATTTTAATAATATGATTTTTGAAGGATCATGTGACTGAAGAAATTAATACTTTTACTTAGTGACATTAAAGACTTTTGTTTTGTAAATTATTTTCTTTTGAACTTTCTATTCATCAAAGGATCCTAAAATAAAGATCAGTTAAAAAAATAATAATAATTAAGCAGCACACCTGTTTTCATTGATAATAATAATAAATGTTTATTGAGCAGCAAATCTGCAAATTAGAATGAATTCTGAAGGATCATGTGACACTGAAGACTGGAGTAATGATGCTGAAAATTTAGCTTTTTCATCACATGAATAAATTAGATTTTAAAATATATTCAAATATAAAATCGGTTCAGATCAAATAAATGCAGTCTTGGTGAGCATAAGAGACTACTTTCTAAAATATTGTACTGCCCCCAAACTTTTGAACGGTACTCTATATACATCACATTAATATTAAGAAATTGTATTTACAAAATACTAGACATTTTATGCGCTAGTTAAAGAATATTTAACTAAGCAATCTGAATTTTAGCCAAATAAACTTCAACAATGACACCTGAAATCATTCCTTCAGCTTCCCAGTTGCACAGTAAACTACAACCTGTGCATCTTTTTGATTCCCCTAGAGTGTCCCGCTCAGTTCTGGGGTCCGGACTGCAAGGGCATGTGCACGTGCCACCCTAACGGTAAATGTGACGACGTGACCGGGAAGTGCACGTGCTACCCCAACCGCTGGGGTGAAAACTGCGAGAAGTCCTGCAACTGTCAGAAAGGGAAATGTGACCAGGAGACGGGCAAATGCACCTGCCATACTGGTTACTGGGGACCGCAGTGCAACAACAACTGCTACTGCAGCACCAACTCTGTGTGCGATCAGACGGGCCGCTGCATCTGCAACCCTGGCTGGTACGGCCGAAGTTGCGCTGCTCAATGTCTGTGTAATAACTCGCCTTGTGAGCAGTATTCAGGCCGATGTCAGTGTAGGGAGAGGCTTTGGGGTCAGCGCTGTGAGCGGTACTGTCAGTGCGTGCATGGGAAGTGTAACCCGGCTGATGGATCATGCACCTGTAAACCCGGATACAGAGGAAAGCTATGCCGGGAGCCGTGTCCAGCTGGGCTCTATGGACAGACCTGCAAAAACAGGTGAGGAAAAGTTATATACACTACCAGCCAAAAGTTTGTTTTTGAAAGAAGCCTCTTATGTTCACTAACACTGAATTTATTTGATCTAAAATACTGTAAAAAAAAAATAAAAATAATAATAATATTGTGAAATATGAAAAGAACAGTTTTCTATTTTAATATATTTTAAAATGTAATTTTTTCCTGTGATGGCAGAGCTGAATTTTCAGCATCATTACTCCAGTCTTCAGTCCGTACTTATTCTACTAACCCTAACCTAATAGTGTACTACTCTAATTAGAGTTGCAAGTTATTGAGAGTTAGTAGAATGTCTAAAATGGAAATGAAGTGTAACCGAAAATCTTAATTATTCCAAACTTTTGAGCAGCAGTGTGCAGTATATTCGTATTTCGGTATAGAGCTTTATATCTTCTTGATTTTATTGCCATAACTTGTTCTCTTCTTTTTCTGACTGACCATACCTGGACGATCCCGGACTTTCCTTTTTGCCGTTGATTCAGGTGTGGCCACTGTAAAGGCCAGCAGCCCTGTAAGGTGACGGACGGTCGCTGTGTAACGTGTGAGAGCGGCTGGAACGGGACAAGATGTGACCAGCCGTGTGTGGAGGGTTACTTCGGAGAGAACTGTAAGGATCAGTGTCCACCGTGCAAAGACGGTCACTTCTGCAACCGCATCGATGGGAAGTGCTCCCACTGCAATCCCGGCTGGATTGGAGATCGGTATGAATCTTTGGCTGACAGTGAACCCTATTGTAGCTTAGAGTTATAAAAGAATTTCTGTTAATGAAACAACAAAACATTTTTTTTTTATCACTTGGTATTAGACAACTGAGGGGGAATTCACTAAGAAAGTGTTATTTACACACACATACTATATGATTGAAATTATAATAATAATAAACATAAATAGAAGCACATCAAATCTAAACAAAACATTTATACATCAACACACTATTAAAAGTTTGTGGTTGGAAAGATTTGTAATGCGTTAAAGGAAATGTTTAGAGAAGTCTCTTATTCTCACCAAGGCTGCATTTATTTGATCAAAAAAATACAATAAAACTGTAATGTTGTGAAATATTATTACAATTTAAAACTTCCGTTTTCTATTGTAATATATTGTAAAATGTAATTTATTCCTGATGCAAAGTGGAATTTTCAGCATTATTACTCCAGTCTTCAGTGTCACATGATCCTTCACAAATGCTGCTTAACAAACTTTTTATTATTATTATCAATGTTGAGAACAGCTGCGCTGCGTAATATTTTTGTGGAAACCTTTTATGGATATTTCACTATTTAATGAATAGAACGTTTATAAGATCACCTCTCAAATTCTTCCCATGTTGCTCCTCGAAGACTCTTTCCATGAAAACTTGACCCTTGATCCTCAGTCTGTTTGTATTTTTGTCTTTGTGTAGCTGTGAGGTGCGCTGTCCTAACGGCACCTATGGAGACAACTGTGAAAAAGACTGCAGCCACTGTTTTAATGGAGACTGCCATTTTGCCACAGGAGAGTGTCTCTGTGACCCTGGCTTCAATGGGACATAGTAAGTCACATCTCTGAGTCACGCACATATTTAGGTCATCTTGATATCAAGGCCTGTTTTCACTAACGGATGAATCACAAAATCAACAAAGAGTCATTCTAAATGGTTTAAAGATGAGTAACTTTAAACAAATTGCAGTGTGCTAAACAGGACACCCCAAATGGTTAAATGAGAATTAGTTATTTGCCAAACACAAATTCATATTCAACACATAAATTGCCCTTGCCCTTTCAAACTCGGTAGTCTATAATTACAGTAATTGAAAGAGAATAATATTGATGAGCCTGAATCACTTAAATGTCCAGACTCCACTCATACTTTGTACAGGAGAAAATTTCAGGCTTTTTGTATTATTAATAAATTGTTCCTGTGATCAAAGCTGAATTTTCAGCATCATTACACATGATCGTGTCACATGATCCTGAAATCATTCTAATATGCTGATTTGCTGCTCAAAAAACATATTATTATTATCATTGTTGATAACAGTCGTGTTGCTTAACATGTTGTGAAACTGATGAATAGAAAGTTGAAAAGATCAGAATTTATTTTAAATAGAAATCTTTTGTAAAATTATACATATCTTTACTGACACTTTTGATCAATGTCCTTGCTGAATAAAAGTATTCATTACATTTAAATTTAAATTAAAAAAGAAAATCCTACTGACCCCATACTAGTGAACGGTATAGTGAACCATTAAATACATAAATTGTTAGATTATTCAGCATTCTAAATCTTAAATTGCATTCTTGTAATATTTGCATATTAAACTGCAATTGGTTTCTTTAGGAAATGCCAAATTAGTTTCTTTCAGTTAGTTCACAATATATCATACCTTTATCTTCAATTGATGAAACTTCACTTTAAAAACACAAAAATAAAATGTATTTTTAATGCAATACTTCCCTTTTCTCTGCAAGACATTTGAAATATTTTGTCGGTTTCAGTTCAGTGACGTTCAGTGTCTTTCAATAAGAACTTCTGTGCTTGTTTCATTTATTATAATTGTTCATTCCTCTTTTCTGTTCTTGGATTTGCATTGCCAACATCTACATAATTGCCCATAATTCCCCAAACTGCCGTGTTTCATTTTCACTGGAAACTCCTGTTGCTTTGTACACAATGATTGCATTGACTGTCTTTCTCAATGCTCTTTGCATTTCTTTTCATTTTAGCTGCAACCTGACCTGTGAGTTCGGTCAGTTCGGAGTGAACTGTGCCCAGACCTGTCCATGTCACGACAAGAACTGCAACCCAGTGTCAGGGGCCTGCAACCTATGTAAGAAACCCTTCCTGTCGCTCTTTAGAATAATTAAATTGTCATTTCTCAAGCTATGTTATGTCATTTGCTATGGAGACACAAAAGAACCCATGAGATTTTGAGATATAGTTACTTATGGGGTCCAACATCAGTCATATTTTCCATTACGTAAAGGGAGAGAGAAATAGCTGCCCAGTTGACGCAGGGGTCAACTCAAGATTCAACCTTTTGACTCGCAGCGGATTTGTTTTTAAATCATGTCATGATCATTACTCGCATTATGCAGTGTATTACCACCATCCTGGCAGATGTTTGATATTCCCTAGCCAAGCTGTTTTCATCAATGCTATATTTAAAGGGATTTACACTATTGGTCAATGCTTGGGGTCAGTAAACTTTTTTTTTTTTTTTTTTTTTTACAAGGAAATTAATACTTTTATTGAGTAAGGATGCATTTGATCAAAACGGGACAGTAAATACATTTATGTTACAAAATATTTATATTTCAAATAAATGCTGTTCATCAAAGAATCCTGAAGCATGCATTACAGTTTCCACAAAATATTAGGAATATTAGGGAGCAACACAACTGCTTTCAACAAGAAAATGTTTCTTGAGCAGCAAATCAGCATATTAGAATGTTTTCTGAAGGATCATGTGACACTGAAGACTGGAGTAATGATGCTGAAAATTCACATCATATAAATAAATAAATAAAAATACATATTCAAACAGAAAACAGTTATTCTAAATTGTAATAATATTTCACAATATTACTGATTTTACTGTATTTTTGATCAAATAAATGCAGCCTTGGTGAGGACGAGACAAAAAAAAATACCAACCCTAATATTTTTTCCATTAAAAATATCTAAACATCCTAATTATTTTGAATGAAATGTATTTTTTTCTTACCCCACTGACAACATATTTTTGTCATAAGCAAATTTGTTTGTCAAGTTTATATTTAAAACAATAAAAACAAATGCCAATGTGGTAAGAAACATTTATTTATTTTCAAGATACAGTATATTTACTAAAAAAAAAAGTATTATAATCTTATAAATTTACCTTTGTCTTTAAATTTATCTTATCTTAACCCCGCCAGGATTTTTTCTTTTTTAATTTTGCCAGCATTTTTGATCATTTTCACAAAATTGTTATGACCCCCAGAATATTTTGTTTTAGAAATACCTAAACATGCAATATGGCAAAAGAAAGAACAGACCCTCAGCATAAAAAAAATCATTTTATTGTAAGTTAATGCATTCTTTTTTATCAATACTTGAATGTGGGTAAGTTTCATTAAAAAAAAAACATTTTGAGCAAAAAGCTGAGAAAAATTCTATTTTTGTCAGACTACATCCAGATTGGATTCAGAACAATGATTAAAACATAGATGGAGTAGATCAAGTCCATCAACACCCCTAAAGCTTCACAGTCCTATAGCTCGTCCTGGGTCGACATTTAATTGAATAACATTAGGCAGTTTTTTATTTAAATGCTGTTTAATGTTAATGAATGCGTTATTTTACATATGCACCTGCTTACATATGATATTGCTTGTTTCTGCATCTTCATCCGTGTTTTGATTCGGATATTCTGTACTCTTTCAGAAGATCCCGAATAGATCCGCCTACCGTATACCATTCCGTCAATGGTGGGGAAAGAGTTAACAATTGTTAATGGTAAACAAGACAAAAATGTGCCGTTTTCCAAAACATTTGAATAGATTCAAGAATCAAGAAAAATAACATTTTCCTAACATTCCCTGAACATAAAATTCGGATGCCGAGAAATATTTTTTTACTGCACATGATTTGTCCGCTTTATTCAAAATTGTCAAAGCCATTTGATTGCTTTGTGTGAGATACAGTCCTGGAATTTAAGTCATTGCTCACTATTGTTATCTCTTTCATTCATTTTTATGCAGAATAACCTTCAATATCACTGAATTAAACAGACGAAAAGAGTAAAAGATCATTAATTTCTCTTTAAAAATCGATGAGAAACTTGTTGTGTAGGCAAAAGAAACACACGGTTGCTATTTGTAACATGCCTGCGTAGTCTTCACTATGTAGGTCACTGCCGTAGACAGCAGCAGTTTAACATGGCGGCCTTGATGGTGTTTCCAGAGCGGTGTCTTATTTTTACGGCTGTGTTTTTTGGCTCTTTTCCTGCCTGCTCGCAGACTTACTGAGAGCCGGGGTTGTTTCACACAGCTGAGAGAAATACTACAGGAAGAGAGACAGAGTGATGAGGAAAGGTGTGGGTCAGGAGAGTTTTCGCAGGGACTTGAGTGAAGGCAGAAATGATGTCATTGTGTCCGACCTTAGTGAGGCCTTCCTCGAACGCAGCTGCGCTTTCAGGACATGTGTTGATGTCCCCACACCACACACTACACCCAGACTGAGCTCGACACCTCTGTGAGCATAGAGCACAAATCAAAGAGTCAAATAGTCATCAGTTATTATGCTTTAACTGTTTTCAGTTGGTTTTTCAGTAGCAAATGTTTGTACAAGAAATATGAGGAAAGGAGCATTTGGGTTCAGCTGAAAATAATTGCGACTTCTGTTTGTACCTCTGTTTGACAAAATTGCTGCAGAGATTTCAAGTGCATTTAGGGGCTTTCGCACCGGGTAGTTCTAGGAACTAGCCACCAGGGTGGTTCCCCGAGAACGAATGGTTGCCAACATTTTCCTGTTTGTGTTCGCACCGCCATTAGGAACTCTGAAGTGACCTAGCCGCGCTTGTATCTCTGAAGCAGCGCTTGTTGTTGTGACTTTTATTTTGACGGCGTGGAGGACCTTTATTTTGACGGTGCTGACAATGCCAGCCAGAGCCTGAGCTCACAGTCCTCGCATTCTCTGTGTTTATTAGTTTACGATCTGTCTTAAGCCTTGTTTATACTCGACGCGTCCGCACGAGCGCGAGTCGCCGCTGACTGCGCGCGCACCTCTCCAAACGGACGAGGCGTTTATACTTGACGCGCTCGCCGTTGTGCTATTCTGTGAAACGACAGGGGGCGACTCCGAGTATTTCTCCTCTAAAACACCAGGAATCAGCAGTGAAGAAGTAGTTTGCCGTTTATTAGTAGTTTATTAATTGCTGATTCATATAAAAAGAGTAATAAATGCAGTAGGTTTATTGTACTTTCACTGCATGTAAACTAGTTAAACAACTGAAGCCTTATTGAAGAGTGCCCTTACGAAAATTAACCATGGTTTTACTATAGTAAAACTGTAGTTAACTATGACTGTAGTAACCGTGGTATTTTGGTGCGAACCATGGTTTTTAAAAACCATGGTTTTGATACCATGGTTTTACTACAGTTATATTGTAGTAATACTACAGTAAAACCATAGTAACCATGACTGTAGTAACCATGGTTTTTTTTTTAAAACCATGGTTTTGATACCATGGTTTTACTACAGTTATATTGTAGTAATACTACAGTAAAACCACAGTAACCATGACTGTAGTAACTGGTATTTTTAAAAACCATGGTTGTGATACCATGGTTTTACTACAGTTATGTTGTAGTAATACTACAGTAAAACCATAGTAACCATGACTGTAGTAACCATGGTTTTTGGAGTTTTTTTAAAAACCATGGATCATGTACAATAAATTGGTTGTATTGCCACAGTGTAGCCAATGTTTTACTAAATTATCTTGAATTACATTTAAGCCGTTTAGTTGCAAAAGACATCTACAAAATAACAACAGAAAGAAGTTACCATATGATACAGACTTTATTACAGAAATTACATCTGAAAGAAAATATAAACTTGCATTTGTTCTCACATGTGACAAAAACTAAAAAGTTGTAAAAAAAAATATTGGTGATAAAGTGGTGCTGTGCAATGGTTAAATTAAGTTGCTAATTTACAAATAAAGAAATAGTAATTTGTTCCAGTGTAATAATGATGTATATACAAAAATGACATTGTACAAATAAACATGACTTAGAGCACCTTTAAATACACAGCATCTACCTCCTCTAAAATGTCTGTAATCCGTGAACACGTGTCCAACACAAGCATGTTTGCAATTTATACTGTACATACATTAACAGGATTACAGCAATATTACTTGACAAGAACAATAAATACTATAAATTCAGAAGAAATGAGCCGTTCTTTTAAGAATGTTTTAAATGATATCCACTCACAAGAGATGAAGACATGGAGTCTCCTCATGGGGGATGAATAATGCACACTTTAAATTCTAGGTGAAAAAGGTTTTGTTGAAAAACATGTGATGCCGCATCCATGCCAGTAGGTGTCATTATGAAGTCTGTCATATGGCCAGTAGGTTACAGTCCAGCTTTGGTTTGGTTCTGTCTCGACCTTCAGCCCAAATGGACGCAGGAGCTAAAATGAGAAGAATACACACCACATTAACACACAAGCTGGAATACTCAACTGCTATTGGTCAGTTGCACTATCGAGTAGCCATGTAATAATGTCCAAGTGTAATAATGTCCATTCAGCCAGTGTTTTCATAAATAACTCATACAGTATTAGGGCTCCAAAAGCCAAGCAGAAATAATGTACATTATATGATCAGCTGAGTGTATTCTCCTTTACTTATACATACTAAAAAAAAATGGTGCTAAACAGCACTAAAAGTGGTTTATTGGCTCGTAATCTTCAGAACACAACACAGTTTAAGATATTTTAGATTTAGTCTGAGAGCTTTCTGTCCCTCCATTGGAAATGTATGTACGGTATACTGTCCTTGTCCAGAAAGGAAATAAAGACATCATCAAAGTAGTCCATGTGACATCAGTGGGTTAGTTAGAATGTTTTGAAGCATCGAAAATACATTTTGGTCTAAAAATAACAAAAACTAGGACTTTATTCAGCATTGTATTGTCTTCCGGTTCTGTTGTGGATCCGCGTTCAGTGCCGCTGCTGACGTAAGACGCTGCTGACGTGTGTCTGGTGTGTGTGTGTGTGTGTGTGTATTCCGGTTCTGTTGTGGATCCGCGTTCAGTGCCGCCGCTGACGTAA